AATGTTGTTTTAATTACCTTTTTGTACAAAGTCTTTTCCTAGTTTAAAATCTTTTTTTTTTTTTTTTTTTTTTTTTGGTGGAGGGGGGGCCGGGGATCAAACTCCGGTCCTTGAGCTTGCGCAGCAGGCGGCAAAACCACTGAGGTAAATCCCCGGCCCTAAAATCATTTCTTTAACATATATTTTCATAAACTGAATTACTCAAAGAGCACATTCTTAATTACTAAAATGACAAATCTATTATTCATAAACATTGCTTTTTTGAAATCTGAAGTTATATGTAGTTCTTAGAAAACTACCTTTTTTAAAAAATAGAGAAAATCTAAAGAATTTAGCTAACTTTGATCCTTGAGTTAGTGACTATGTATCATAAATATTCATTCAATCTTGTGATCTACAGTTTCCTCACGTGTAAAATTGAGATAATCCCTGCATTACAAGTTCCTCACAAATGCATTAACTTGGCCTTCGTTTCTATAAAAATAAGAAACTGTGTTATTTTCTCCCCAAGCAAACCATAAACTCTGAAACTTAAATCTATTACTGTTCCTCTCTGAAAAAGATTTTTCAATTGCACTGTATAGGAGCATTGCAACATTGAAGTCTAACTTTTGATGACTTTGCCTGTCTGAATTTTACACCTACTTTTTCTCATTCATTACTCTTTCAAAATCTGGGGATCTGAAGGAAAAATTATGTCATATTTGCCAAGGTTATATATCAACCGTGACCAGCATACATTCTAATCTCAACTTTGATTTTATAGATTTGGATAATTAATCTGTAATAATCTATAATGATAAGTGAATTGTGTTCTTACATTCTTTTTCTTCAGCCTTCAGGAAATCCCATTACTATAATATACAACTCTTATATGTACTAGCATTATTCTCTAGATAATTTTCATCCCTTATTATAGATCTAGTTATATTTTCTTTCTTCAGTTAAGAAAAACTATTGGAACTGGTATTTTAAAAAGAAGAAAATTCTAGAACCCAGGAATCCCTCTCCTCTTCCTGCTTTTCTTCCCATGTGTGTTGCCTTGTCTGTTGGCAGTTGGTTCTGATGCTGATCTCTTCGGCACCCTCCACACTATTTCCCAGAATATAAATCAGTAAATATTCCTGTTTACATTCTGCCAGCACTGGACAAATATGAGGGAGTAAGAAGGTAGAAGGGAAGCCGCCTCCATATTCTTACTCTAGCAGCAAAGTTGGAGACTTCCAGAAATCTCCTGCCTCTGGAGGCAGATTCTGGAAGTTTCTGACCTGTGCAGCAATGATTTCTTAAAACTTACTTGCAAGCACAAGGTCCTGAGTTTGATCCTCCAGTACCAAAAAACAAAACAAAAACAAACAAACAGAAAACACTTAGCTGCATACCTGAGAGCTAATTATTGGATTCCCTTCCATTTCCTGCCTTCAGTTTTTCCACCTCTTTTATAAACACCTAATTGACTATTTTAAATATCTTCCTGCTTCCAATATCCAAAGTGATTTCTGTTTTTCTGACTGAACACTGACTGATATGCCCCAGCTCCTAAATTTATATAAACCTGTGGCCAGGCATTCATCTAAGCAAAACAAAGCAAGCAAATCTAATGAAGGGTATCAGCACCAGATCCTCAACCCATACATTGCAAAGTGTTTTTAATCCAAAACAAGTAGCCCATTTATGATTTCATTGCCTGACCCCCCGAGTCTCGCAGAATTTTATATCGATGAGAATTCAACTATGGAAGATTGAAAGTGGTGATTTAAAAAAATTATAAAGTTTTGCTGCATAAAATTGCAATCCTCTAAAAACCTGCCCCAAACTCCAAGAACTGGTATTTTTGAGGCCAGATGAAAAATACCACCAGTATCACCAGTGTGATAACTTGAGGGTGGCTGCCATAGGACATAAATGTCCATCCCTAATATTTTCAGTCATATCTTTTACTTTCAGTTCCCTTGATTTGTGTATTTGTTTTATTTATGGTTTTGTTAATTTTAAAAGGTGGAGCTATTTTAGGGGGTTGGTGGGTTCCTCCACTCCTAGCAAATGTTCAAAAGACATTAGTCAAATTAAATATAAAATAAATAAGAGGTTTATCTGCCTTGATGAAATAAGCTCACACATTTCAAATTAGGTTCACTTTTGGCAAACATAAGCAGATTACCAAGTGTCTCAGTTTCTCCATATGGATGACTGGCATGACAATTTTATTTTAGAAATCTTTTCTCCCCTGTATTCATGATGGATTTATGATTATGTATTTCCTACCTGCCTGAAACAGAGTTTTAGATGATCTCCCCAGGTGATTCTTATGCACCCTAAAACTTGAGAATCACTGCAATAAATCAAAACACATTTGCTTTTCTCCTTTTCTTTGAAATCTCTATGCAAGAAGTGAAAGGAGTAAAGAATCAAAAGAGTTAGGGCTCTTTCTAGGATTAGATCTGGGAGATGATGCATAAAATTGGAATTTTGGAGTTCAAAGGTCCTTACAGGTCATTTAATTTAAACCTCTCATTTGTGTCAGCAATCTTATCTAGAGTTCCATACACAGTTTGCAGCAGAACAGAAATCAGAACTCAGATATTCTTAATTTCTATCCAGTGCTTTCTGAGGCATGGTTGCCATATGCATCTGTGTGAGTGTGAACTACCCAACTCGACACGTGCCCATCATACTGTGGGCAGGCATACGCAGTAGCACAGTTTTCTGGCCAGACAGCAGTAAAGTTCTAACAAAATTAGTGTATTCGATTATTTTTTGAAAGCAGCAACAGTGTCTTGAGGAAGGGGCACCACTTTCTAGTATGCACAAAGACTTAACATGGGCTTGTGGCAGACAGCTCCTTTCCCTTTTAATTCAGTATACCTTACTAATGCTCAAGTCACAAGCTCTAAACTCAGTAACAAATACAGTAGAGATGCATTTATGGAAACCTCAACTATGAAAAGTTAAAATTACTCAGGTAGAAAGATATTATAAAGTTTTGCAGTATAAAATTATAACCCTCTAAAAAGCTGCCAAGAGCTGCAAATTCCAAACTGGCTGGCCCAGTGAATTGTAAATTGTGTTCACGGATTGTCACACAGAGGTGCTGCATTACATGGTATTGTGTGACCCACACTTTTACTGATGTGCACTGCAACTTCTACATGTGAGTTGATAACCATTGTGCTATTGTTTGCACTGTAAACCTTTAGCTCAGAAGTGAGAAGTGATAAAACACTCTGAACCCCTAACAACTGTAATCAATAGTATTCCATCTGTTAATTTAAGACAGCACACTCAAAAAAGCACTGGAGAAAATGATGTAAAAATAAATATAGCAATGGGGCCAAAACCCACAGTGACAGCATCCCACCTAATATTTATTCCTCTGTGATAACTAGTCTTAAATTGCGAGTATTTTAAATTATGTAATGTATTCAGGGCACCATCTTTCACACAAAATGCAGCTTCCCTTACTTTAAAAATGCTTCATGTCTTTAGGTGATTCTAACCCCAACTCTATACCTAAAAGACAATATATAAAATTGGAAAGAGCCCCAGGGGACGTTCCAATTTAACACCACAGTTAGTGATCTGCAAAAGGGATGTAATTCTGTGGTAAGCATCTCAGAAGTTAGATCTATTTTTGTGTGTTATTAATTCTTTTTAGTACACAGTACCATGCATCATCCTGTAGGCAGATGCTATGGTCAATTTTAGCCCAGGCTCTGATAGGTTTTCAGTTTATCACTAAGTCACCTTCATGGGCATCTTCCCAGGGCTTAACTGCATTATGCCAGTTTAGTCAATTGAAAAAAGAGGGCCAAATAATCTTACCTTTCCCACCAAAATAATTAGAGTATTAATGAGCTAATAAGCACTAAATACTTTTAACCTCAGGAAAACTGATCTACAAACACAGAGCATCGCAACCCCTGTAGTCTACGTGGGGGGACATCCCCAGGTATTGAGTCATACCTACTGCCACAACTGATGCTGATATCATCCTCCCACTGGGTCCATCATCCCAGGCCATCCCAGCATGGACTGAGCATGTGTTCAGAGTGCTAGGGAATCCAGGGCACGGAAAGTGATATGTTTTAATCTCTAGTCTTTGTAAAAAGCATGAAAAGGCTGATTATGAGGGCAATTAGAACTTTGTTGGAGGCTTATATTTAACTGAACCATAAAAGCTTTGAGTTTGCTTGTATTTGGAATTGCACAAATGTGGGCAGGATATTTTCATAATCATATCCAAGCCCAGGACTTCTAAAAGCTATCAGCTAGCCTCAGGTCTACTACTCAAATGCAAAAAAACCCCACCAAGAAATTTCAACAAATTATTTCCTCCCAAGTAAGCAGTCTTAATAAAGGACTAACTTCTCTCAATAGGGATTAATCACAACAGCTTGCCCAGTGCTGTAAATCTAAGAGCACGAAATCTTGTCTGGCAAGGGAGTATGGGACAAGATCCTGATGAAATATTCACTGTCATCACTATCATGACTTGCAGATAAACCCGAGACCTTGGAATCTGCACAGATGTTATTTCTTTGCTTTATTTCTCTAATATGGGCAGGCTGATGTTGCTGAGTGGTCTTGGTGAGCTCTGTGACCCCTGGTACCCATCATTTCCAGATATTCATGACTTCTCTATTCTTGTATCATTGCTGAGATATGTGTGTGCATAAAAACAAAAACTATATATTTCTACCCTGCATTTCCACACTTTGGATCCCCTCCAGACACCACTGCAAATATGACACTCTGCTGCAGGATACTAAAAATGGTTTTCCTCAAAATAAAACCTTTAAGGATCCCTCAGTAGCTATTCAGGGACTGGAATTCAATTTCAATTCTCCACCCTTTGGCCAGCTGTAGATTCAAAATGCTTACATAAAACATCAAAAGTATGTTCTTCATGGCAAATTTGAGTTTTCTTCTGCAATATAAATGGTGCATAGTTATCACAAACGATATGTTTACTTAGAAAATACACAAAGCAATAATGTGCCTCAACAAGACAGAACAGATCTGTCTTAAATTTTATTTTATAGGTAGCTTTGATATAAGCTTCAGATAGACCACTTACTACACAGAGCTTATGAAGTCTACACTTTGAAATCATAATACTCTTTATTTTAGGCTATAATATCTAAAAGCATGACTTCTCAAATTCTTTTATTACAAGTAGTTCTTGCACATAAATGTTACATCACAATAGCTAAAAAATGTAAACTTCTTTTGCAAACTACATAAATACTATATTATCTGCCTTGAAGTTATTTATATTTTAAATCAGAATATACTCTAAATGACTTAGAAAACTTTGGTAGGTAGCCTATGTGTACAAAACTTTTTTTTTCTGTTTTACTGATTTACCTTTCATGTTGCCTACTTAGGTCTTTGAAGGAGAACAACTCAAAATAGGACCTGGGTCAAAATGTAGTCCACAAATAAGATAAGGCCCTAAATATGCTGATAACGTTGGGAAAAATACGAGATGTGGAATTAGTCCACATATCAAATCTAACAAGCCACCAGCATATGAAGGAAACTACAAGTAAGGATTCTGGCCATCAGATTTGATCCTGCGTGGAACCCTTTCCATTTGCTCAACATAATCTTTTTCTCTGCTATAAAAACTGTCTGATTTAGGGCTGGGGATGTAGCTCAGTGTTGCCACACCTGTCTGGCAAGCACAAAGTCCTGAGTTCAATTCCTAATAGCAGAAAAAAAATTTTTTTTTTAAAACTGTCTGACTTTAAGTGAACTTTCTATTTTCATTTACAGCACAAAAGGTCACTTCTACAGCAACCATCCTAGGTCAGAAAGTCTAGGAAACCGGTAAATTTACTTCACCAACACTGTCCTAGGAATTTTTCAATACAAAGTTAAATTGCATAAGTAGCCATGCAGGTACACATGCATGCATGAGTACAGGACCACACCAAGGCCTTTGGGTTAAAAAAAAAAAATCAAGTTTATTGACCTGTTGTTCTTAAATTTCTATTAACAACTAGCTACTGGCCATGGTTTCGTTGAGGAAAAAATATACCATTGCTGAAGCACTTCTGAAAGTCTTAAATGCATGCAGAAAAAACTACATAGGTTTTCCTAGCAGTTACATTAGGTGGCTCAAGTAACATCATTTATTATTTATTGTGGCCTAAGCCTCTTAACGACATCTTTTAAAATACAAAGAGAATGGCTGCAGGATGGAGCCCAGCCCCAGCCAGCTGGCGGATCCTCTGAACAGTTCACAGGACCGGAATCGGCGCTGTCTCCTGAGTGTCTGCTTATGCTCGCTAAATGCACTGTGTCTTCTCTTTACTGCCCATGCTTTTCAACTATGACATCAAAGAAAAAAATTGTTCTGTATCTCGCAGTGATTAATGTAGACCTCAAGTAACACTGTCTTGGACTTCACAGAGACAGGTAAACATTCTTAACAACTCTGGTTCCCAGAGAGGCCTGGGTGGGCGGAGCAGAGTCTGAAGTTTAGGAGCTGCTTTTGTTGCCGACGGTGCCTTGGCTAATACTGTCTTCCATGTACTGGCTGCCCGTGTCACTCCTGCTGAGGACCGTGGAGGGGATGCGGGAGGGGCGCCTCTCCGGGTGGTTCTCTTGCCAGAAGCAGCAGATCATCTTCTTCATGGTGCTGTACATGTCCTCATCCTTGTACGAGTAGATGATGGGGTTCATGACGGAGTTGAGCAACGCCAGCAGCAGGAACCAGGGCTTCACGTGCTGTACACCGCACTGAGTGCAGTTCAAGCCATCCAGGAGCAGGACCACCAGCCCTGGGGTCCAGCACACTACAAATGCGCCTGGGGAGAAGAAGAGGAGGCAACACATGCTCAGACTTCAGGCTGCTATACAGGCTGCTCCCACAGATTTATTTTGTCAACTGCAAAGCAAACTCCCAGGCTGCATCTGAACATTTAAAACTTGAGCTTTCCAGAGACAACTCCTTGGGAACCTCCTTGTCTATCCACCACGTGCTACTTTGCTTTCTTATCTGGGATTGTTATTACTGAGGGGCTTGTACTTACACAACATTATTCGTACACCATCTCTGAAGGTCTCTGAACCACAACTGGAGACTGCCACGATTCTTATCTCTCTATCTGACTGATGGGGAAACTGAGGCCCTGTATCAAGGGGAAATGTGAGGCCCTTCTGACTCCAGGGCTCACACACTTAACCTTTTATTCTTCTGTTCTCTAAATCAGGCTTTCTTAAATGCTTTCTTGAAAATGTAGCAATGACTAATTCACACCTCAAATTAAACCCCACATGGGCTTTGGAAGAGACAAGTAACCATGACCTGCAGGGCATCCTCCTAGCACAGTGGTGGTGAACCTATGGCACGCGTGCTGCAGCCAGCTGTTACCACCGAAAGCTCGGAAAGGTTCATCATCACCGCCCCAGTGTTTTCACTGAGTCACTTGCTCAAAAATTTTACTCTTCATAAGTTCACATCGATGCTTCCTAAGCACTGTATCCCTTCTGACATATTCACAGGCCATTTGCTTAATCATCTGCTCTAGATTTAGATGTCTGTCAGAAATAAATCTTTCATGATGAGACAGTTAGAAATGTGGTTTCTAGACTGAATATTCTACAACTGAATATGAGCAGTAGTCTCTTCCAAGTCTCCAGCCTTTGGATCACATGTACCTTACCTCTAAACTTCCTAATATTTTTCTCCTAAAATATGCGACACAGGTTCAATATTTTGCAATTTAGTTATAATAATCTCAGCTAGCCTTTACAGCATGCTTACTATGAGCTAGACAATGGTGTAAATGTTTTCTTTGATTATCTCATAGGACCATACTATGTGATTGGTGGTATATTATTATCTTCAGGAAACTGAGGCACCAGAAAAGTTACATAACCTAACTTATAATCAAATAATCCTTAAGGAACATCTAATTTTAAAGGCAGGCAGTCTTTACCCATGGCTGTGCCCTTGGCCACTGTGTGAACAGCCTCAGTTCAATGTGGTTGCTTTCTTCCAATATCCTTATCATCTCAAAATACACTTGCATATGATCCATTCAATCATTCTTCTCAAGCTTGCCGTGTACCAGGCTTTGTACTAAGCAGTGTATGAGGTGGTGCTATGTGTATGCAGGGTGCTAAAATGCTAACATTTTAACAAAGAATAAACAAGGAAGTCTATACAACCTAGCTCTCACTAGTTAGAATTAATTCTGGACATTATTCGTCTTGTGTTATCTTCCTTCTGAGAGATATAATACTAAGCAAGACAAATCAAGAACTACATACAGGCAACATAAGGCAGGGAAGCACCATGACCTTTGGGGTCAGACAGGTATGCTCAGCCCCTCATCTTATGAGTTTCCCATGTTAGGCAAATTACTCCACCTACCTGAGTCTTCATTCTTACTGAGCCATAATTGTATGTCAGAAACTGTTCTAAGAATTTTATATTATTAACTCATTTAATCCTCATAGCAAACCTTGGAAATAGGCATTAATATTATCCTTTTTTTAAAGCCTGAGGCACAGAAATGTTAGGGGGTATGTTCAAAGGCACACAGTGGATAAGTGTGAGAGCCAGGATTTGAACCCAGGCATCCTGGTACCAGAGCCTGAGCTCCTGTCCCTGTATCAGGCTACTCCACAGTAGGCCAGAAAGCATCTTACAGTGAGTGAGTGATCAGAGGATACGTCTGGATTTTAAGGTTCCCTTGGGACTATGTCATATCTGACTGAAGCTACATATATCACAACTAAGAAATACTTTGGCTTTCTAACAGAAAGATTGTCTAGCCAGAGAAGGGAGAGAAGAGAGGAAGAGAGGCTGGCTGTGAGGTAAAAAGAGAATAAAATAAAAATCTGCCGATTTTATCTTTGTGTTGTTTCCAGTGAATAATAAAAGGCAAGTCTTCATTGCCGGAAGAGCTCAGACACACCAGGCTACTACACTAGGGAACAGGTGCTTCGGAGATGTTACCTTCTGAGCACACTTCCTGGTAGGCAGTGATGCAGGGAAACATGGCCATTGTAAGACTCCTCCATCCAGAGGCTAAACTTTAACCAAACACATCTCAGAATGGAGGCACAGTCCATCTAACTGTTCATTCTTTAGAGGTTTTTACTATATGTCAGCTGCTAGATAAGAGGCCCCCCAAAGAGAAGAAAATGTCAGGAATGGACTTGGCCCTGGGTATCAGTAATCTTGGAGAATTCTTAGAAAATGTGGGAGATACAGAAACATACAAATGGGCAAATGTACTAATTCTTAAAGGGGTGGAGGGCAGAGAGAGATCAGTCAGAGCCATACCAATGCCTAATAAATTCTAGAAGAAAAAATCTAAAAGTAATGTTCTTGGAGTGTTTAACCTAAAGGACCAGACTATCACTGCAGAGCACCAACTATGTTCAAAGAAGAGGTCATGACAGGTCCAGATAACTTAAAAAAATAATCAGGCATTATCAAATAGGAGTCCAGAGGTGTCTACCTGGGAACCTGTGGGTATGTTTCTCCCAGAGGAGAAAAGACTAAGGAAACATGTGATATTTTAACTGTCTCTCAAAACCCAAAAGGTTATCATGGAGAGAGGAGCAAAATCTTGGGCCACTCCAGGATATCACTCAGAACAAATGGGAAAGCACAAAGAGTGAAAATTTGGATTTAAGACTTAGACTAAATGGAAGTATTTAAGAAAGAAACACATTATTCAGCGGGTAGAGAGTCTCCCTTAACCAGGATATTTCCTTTACCTGGCCCATCTTGAGGTATGTCAAGGGAAGAGATTTTCCCTACAGGAAAGGTAAATATTGTGTCTTCTGTATTGTTTGCTGTGTAGAAAATTGCTAAGTTCTGTGAAACTATGATTTTCAACTCCCCACAAAATTCAAACAAAAATTTTGATTTGGGCCGGGGATTTAGCTTAGTGGTTTCGCCACCTGCTGCACAAGCACAAGGACCCAAGTTCAATCCCCGGTATCAAAAAAAAATTTATTTTTATTTGCTTGTCAGGCATGATTATAAGATGGTATCGCTCAAAACTATCAGGATGGATTCCCTAAGCTGCTACTAGTTCCCTAAGATGGCTGGCCAAGTGATCTACCAAGGGAGCCTTTTAATAATGCAGACTCTAGTCCTGCATCAGACCCAATACCAGAATCTCTTGGGTAGGATATGGAAATCTGTTGGACTAAAAGATTTCATAGGTGATATGATTCACAGCTAGTTTTGTAACCCATTTCCCTGTGCTGACCCAAAAATGGTTCCATTGAGCTGACTCCAGCAGCAAAACTACAGACTCCATATGGACTTAGCAAAAAGGCATGGAAAAGCAAGGCCAGACTGAATGCTTTAAAATGAGAAAACAACTATGTCTAGAGATCCATACATTAATCTTGGGTTTGGAAAAATGTTGGAGAACATATACATAAATCAATGCAAACCCTAGCTGCAAAACTGGTCTATAGGCAAGGCACACACAGTCTTCTAGGGATCTATCTTTGCTTCATCCTGCCAGAAATGCCTGCCTGTCCCCTAATCTAAGTTCTGCTTTTCTTTCTAAGCTTACTTCATATTCTACCTCCTCCACAGGATCTCACCCATCTCTGTAACCCTTACTGATTATTTCTCCTCTCCACTCCTGTGGCACTTTCCACCTGCAACATTTGTGTGGCACTGGGCACATTATCTGCTCCATTTCATGCTATCATTTTCTGAGAGCTCTGGGTCAGGCATTTATACATATGTCCCATTTAAAGCTCATGGCCCTGCAAGGTTACTCCTCTCATTATTGTGCTAGACCAATATATGATGTACTTGAAGTTTAGAGTGACTGGACAGTTTGTTTTCTGGGTCTATAAGTGAACAAATAAAAGAATTACAATTTGAAACCAGGCCCAACTTCTCCATGAAAGCTCTTGAGCACTGTCTGATACTGGAGGCAGTGCTTAATACCGTACCTAGGTACTATGTCCAAGGCTTATTATAAGCTCCCTGAGCACATAGGCTGTGCACTACACCTGTTTATATCCTTAGATATATGAAAGGAGCCCCACACTCAGTAGCAGAGGACATGAGCCAGGTGACTGGAACTGAAGTTTATCAAGAACTCACACAAGGCCAGGCTCTGCACTAGCTGTAGCACCCTCTATATAAACAGTATACTGTCCTGGCCCTCAGGTGCTACAGGAATGGACACTGGGCCTGATGACTCAAAGAAGGGCTCGGTTGAAGTGACACTCAGATAAGCTGGTTGGTGAAGGTCAAGAATTACTGTGAAAAGGTTAAAAAAAAAAAAAAGACAAACCAGCATGATGTATTTGGGGAATTCCAAGTAGCTCAGGATGGTTTTAACCAGGTAGGTGATTGAGGAAGTAAGATGAAATCCAAGAACAGAACATGGGCTAAATCCAGAACTTGGTGTGCAATACTCAGGAGTTTGTATTTATTGCATAAATTAGACACTCTAAGCCTTTTTTAAGCCAGGAGTTCACCAAGAGAATTAAGTCGGAATGCCCTCAGGTATCCACATTACATAATTAATAAACTCTGTCAAGCCTCTAGAGCAGTATGAGTTATATACCACCGTTAATAGGGCTTACAGTTTAAATACAGAGTGTCCTCCAAAAACATGTGCTGAGGGCTTGATCCCTAATGCAGCAATGTTCAGGGGTGGAGCCTAGAGAGGTGACTGGATCGTAAGGGTACTAACTTAATGTCATCAATCCACTGACAGTTCATAGCTAGAAGAGCTATTAGGAGGCAGGACCCGGAAGAAGGACATAGGACCCTGGGGAATGCCTTTGAAGGCGACACCTTGTCCCC